GTCGGAGGCCATCGCCTCACTGAAAAACACTCTGAACCTCGACTCCGCCCGCGAGCCGCCGCTCTCCTCCCCTTCCAGCTGCCGGAGACACGTGTGGGGCGGCGTTGTACGGAGCTTGACGCAGCTGTACCCCGGCAGCCAACTCCCCGAGAAATTGGTCTCCAATCTTCGCAAACATTACGATTCCTTACCGATCAGGTTCAATTGATTTTCCCCCTTTTTTCACATTCAATTTCCGGCATTGGGGTTTTCAATTGCGTTCAATTTTTTTTTTCCCCCCAATTCACAGCTACTCGCACGCCGGCTTCGAAATGAAAGACGTGTTTCTGCACATCAAATTGATCGAACAAGCATCGGAGGAAAACCACCCGGCGATAATGATCCAAGAGATCTCCGACGAAGAAACCAACACAAACGGCTCTGTATTCAAGCTCACATTTGCATGTAACTCCGCCATTTCATCGCCCGCCGTGTCGGGCGCACTCGACACTTCCTCGGTCTGCTGCAAAAATCTACAGATCTTCGAGAAGAAGGGCTTCACTCTCGGAATCGTCACACTGTTAATCCAAACCGGACACGAGAAATCATTCAAAACTCGGATCGAAAATGCACTCAAATCCGCCTCAAAGAAACCGAAAAGCAGCACCATGAAACTCCCATTCGGACTCTGCGGATGCCAAGAAGAGAGCACTAAAGGGAGGGATCTCGGAGACGTTGAAGAGGATTGTAATGGTGACCCGAATTACAGAAACGGAGAGAATTCAGATTAAAACGCCATCTGCAAACCCGCTTTGCCAAATGACTCGATCGTAATATCTGTAGACGAGTGGCAAACCGTGATATCAGGTAGGGACGGAATTGGGAAATGGTTGCTGAATTACGATGCAGTCGAAATTACCGACCAAATCGGACCGAGTTCGTTCAAGGGTGTTTACAAGGGTAAAAAAGTCGGGATCGAGAAGCTCAAGGGCTGCGATAAAGGAAACTCCTACGAGTTCGAATTGAGGAAAGATTTGTTGGAGTTGATGACTTTCGGGCACAAGAATATTCTACCCTTTCACGGGGTTTTTCTCGACGATAATCACGGGCTGTGTGTTGTGAGTAAGTTGATGGAAGGAGGATCCGTTCATCAATTGATAGTGAAGAATAAAAAGATTCAAACGAAGGAGGTTTTGAGAATTGTGACGGATGTTGCTGAGGGAATTAAGTTTATGAATGATCATGGAGTTGCTTATCGGGATTTGAACACGCAGAGGATTTTGTTGGATAAACGTGGAAATGCTTGTTTGGGCGATATGGGAATAATTGCTGCTTGCAAGAGTGTTAGTGAGGCTATGGAATACGAAACCGATGGTTATAGGTGGCTTGCTCCGGAGGTAAACTATATATATTATATGTTGGTATATTTTCTTAGATGTATGTTGCATGTATATACTGGATGGAATCTTGAATTTCTTGGAGAATATTATGAGAGCGACTTGTTTGGCTAATTGAAAGTATGATTTTATCGGATGAATTTGCATGCTATAATTGAAGGTTTGGTGAAATCTACATTGTTTTTTGTTTGCTATGTTGAGAAGTGAAATTTAATTTGCTGTCATGACTCAAGTTGACATGACGGGATTTCTTAATTTCGGCAGCATTTTATTGAAAATCGGAAACGTAAATAAACGTAGAAGAATGGTCGAAAAGTTACTCTAAATCGATCATTTATTAGTAATAAACAAATGCATATGCATATCTACATGAATTACTGCATGGTATTTTTAGCCTAACTGCTTAGGTTGTGCGACGAATGTAAATTAATCAAGATTCGAGTATCTAACTTTTCTTTTCTTGCTTTCTTGAAAAAGATAATTTCGGGTGATCCAGAAAACGTGACAGAGAGCTGGATGAGTAATGCGTATAGTTATGGAATGATAATATGGGAAATGGTGTGTGGTGAGATTGCTTATTCCGCTTATTCACCGGTGCAAGCTGCAGTCGGAATAGCTGCGTGTGGGCTCCGGCCAGAAATTCCCGATGCCTGTCCGCAGATTCTTCGATCGCTTATGATAAAATGCTGGAACGATTGCCCCTCAAAACGGCCACATTTTTCGGAAATTCTATCAACTCTTTCGCGATTCAATAACAATAACACCAACTCCACGGCTAAGTAGTAAGTAATTGTTTTTATTTTTTTTTACTGTTGTCTACTTAGTTTAGTAATTGCGGTACGAGTTTTTGTAATGAAAATAGCAATGAAAAAAATATACATGATAGAAAACCATTGTACCATATAGTACTTAACATGTTTCTTTGTTTTATCATTTTCTTCTTGTCCTTTTCTAACACACAATGTAATGGAAAATTTCTAGACAGCACTATGTGTACTTGTGTGCAGTGGCGGAGCCGGAATGTTATCTTTGGGGGGGTCGTATATTTCCCGTATTTTTTTTAGCGGGGCAATAATACTACACTACTCGAAAAATAACATATACACGAGTGTGGACTTTTTCTAGGGGCAATAATACTACACTACTCGAAAAATAACAGATACACGAGTGTCGACGCTTTATGCACGATTCTTGGAGTTATGAGTGTGTTTAGGTGAAAAGTAAATGAGTCCAAATATGTTTGAGTGTGTGAATATTGAATAATATGAGTAGACATGGCAGCACAAAGAGAGGCCAAAAAGGTTGAATGTTGGATGTATTAGGGAATTAGTTGGCTAGCTTTTATTTATTTTTTTTTTTTTATTTTTTTTTTATATATATTATAATTGCTAAAAAAATATATATTATCGTATATAAAAGTAAGAAATGCTAGGTCTATCTAAGAAACTCTAATAGTATATTTGTAAGAAGATATATATATATATATATATATATATATATATATATATATATATATATATATATATATATATATATATATATATATCTCCTATTTCGCAGTCACTTTTTTCTAATTACTTTCACACCAAATTTCGGCTAGCACAATCCTAATTCACTACTCTTATATCTTTTTAATTGTTCTTATTATTTTTATCTCTCATTTTCTAGCCTATTTTCGCTAATTTTTCTATGTTTCATTTATTTAATAATGAATTTTATATTATGAGAATTAAGTTTACATAAAATTTTTTTTGGAATCAGTTTGTATTATTAAATTTGTATATAAATATTGATGTTGTTACCAATATCACAAATAAATTTTGTTATAATTGTTATTGTCATATATTAAATCAACAAGTATTTCACGTTTGAAATGTTATCCCGTGCATCGCACGGAAAAAAAATGCTCGTTAATATTAATGAAAAAAAAAACTGTGATGCATTTTTTAGCACAAAAACCTCTTAATGGTGGGGTAGTTTACTCAAAAAGTTTAACCGTGGGAAGATATTTGTTAACAAAAAGAGATGTAATGTTTTGTAGTAATAATCAATGTTTTGAAAACATAACCGGACATTGATAAGGACAAGCTACTGGATTATGGTTGGACCGGTTTCACCGGGGTCAAACCATTTTTTAATTTTTTATTTTATAATTATTTATACATAATTTTTATAGTAAATAAATCATATTTTCTTTCACACATTAACCATTACTCATTTCCAATTAAAAGCGTAAATCAAACTTATTTTTCATTTACACACGAAACATATTACACCGAATCGTTTCAAATAATATAGAGTTATAATAAAAAATAACATGCATTCCAATTTAAAAAATATTCTATTTTGATTTAGTTTTTTCTGAACTGGGAAGTAAAAATACATCGTTTTGGCAATTTTATTGTTTTTTTTAAAGCACTATTTTGAGCAAAAAAACCCGATTTTCACCCGGATTCTGATTTACGGTTCGACCGGTCAAACCAGACCGGACAAGGAAATGGTTCGCGGCTTAAGCTGTTCAACCGGCCGGTCCCATTCCGAGTTTTAAAACACTGGTAATAATAACAAATAAGAGCATGTTTGAATTGTGTAGTTTGTAAACAATATTGTATTTGTAGCTCTCAATTTCTAATTATTTTTTCCAGCAACTGGGGTGGATTAATTTCAAACCTGTTTAGAGTCATTCCAAATTATTTTTTAGGGGTAATATATGCTAAGAGCCCCTCAAATCAAACATAATTCTAACTAAATGACAACCTTAAAATACATTTTTTAATTAAATTCCTATTTTGAAACAAAATGCGGCTCACGTCCCTAATTTTTGGTATCCATAATTTGCTCTTATTACACCCTAGATATAATCTCTATATTATCCAACTTATCAGATACATTTCTCTTTCTTTTATTTTCTCTCTCTTACTCTATCTCGCTAACTCGTATCGTAGACTGTATTTTTTATTTTAACTAATTTAATTAAATCCATTCATTTCAAATCTTTCAACCAAACGCACCTTACTTTGTCTTTGTTGTGGCTAGTTGATGGGACCGGAGGAGGGTCCCTTTTGGCCCCTCTTGTTGTTGTGCTTCCTTTAAATTACTTATTTTTGTCGGCCAATTTAATTAACCTCTCACCCATTTAGGCTTTATGTGACAATTTGGATCAACTTTTCAAGTTTTGAGTTGTTAATATTTTTAGTGCACAACAAATCTTTTTATTGAATAAATTTCATAAACCATTCTTGGAATTTAACCTATTTATTGAAAGAAAACAAAAAAGTTTGTAAATTATATTTTGGTGTCAAATTCAACATAATCTTCTAGATTCCGTGAAATGTTTTCTAGTTTGTACTCGTTTTGGCAAATAAGTTATTTCAGATGCTCCACAATCTGATATTTACAAGCCTAGCGACACATCTTATGATAGTCTTATTTCAAAAACGTGGAGCTGGAATGAGACAAAATGGTACAAACTGGAGAATATTCTATATAATCTAGAAGATTCAACTAACTTTAACACTATAATAACAAACATGTAAAAAGATTTATAATTGAGAGGTTGGTTGTAATTACCTACACAAAAGGAGTTTTTTTTTTTAATAATTTGACCTTACTTCAGGAGAGATGCTGTAATTTGTTAGAAGCGATACAGCTGGAGAGTAAATGACCAGAGTTCGACTCAATGAATAAATGTAACTAACAAGATCTATTAACTCGGGAGATGATTAAAAGGACACATGATTTGATGGTGGGATTGAATACATGTACATGTATGTAATAATTAATTAAGAATTGGATAAGTATAGTTGGAAATTTGCCTAAGATTCCTTAGGTAAGCATCTTTAGACAAGGAAAATCAACAAAAGCTCACAACAAATTAAAGAAGGTGGTGATGAGAATAATAATGTTACAAAGGTAGTGTAGCACATGCCATCATGTGTGTTCTCATTAACTTTTATTTTATTATTATTTGCAGTTTGTCCTTTGAATTGACAAAGTTGGACATCCGTACAGTTTTCCTATTAAACAAACAAACCAACCGTCACTACGAATTCACAAACCTACAAATGCTTTTGTAATTTCGGTTTTCAAAGTGTTGTTCTCAACCTAAAGAACTTCGAGTTTTTCTTCTTCTTTTTAATGTGTGCAATTAATTCAAATTCGCCTATATTTTCTTCCGATTTTTAGCCCAGAAAGTTATCGCAGAGAAATATAAGGGTTTTTGGGCAAAATATTTGGGCTCGTCACTTAGCGAGACTTCTCGGAATTTTTTTCGGTGATCCCCTTGACTATTGTTACTGGTAATTCATTAAATATCAAGAATTTATGTTAATTCCAATGCAGGGTTGTTCACGAGAAATTGAGGGCGATAGGTGAGTTTTAAGAATTTGTAAAAATGGACCTCGGTTTTGTATTGTATAATATACATGTTAATTCATTAAGGAGCACAATTGGACAAGAATTTTTTTATTGGCAGTTAAGATTTTTAGAGAAAATATGACTAAAATATTGATAAAGTTAAGGTAAACCGAAAGTTTACGGGGTTCAAGGCAGAGCTCCAAAGTTGTTTTGAAAATATATTCATAGAAATATCACTGAACAAGTAAATATATGTAATTTTTATTTTAAATATAGTATATCTTAAGCTTGTCGAAACTCTTTGAAATTAGAGGTAGACAATGTAGAATATTAAAAAAAATGCAAAGATTGCTGAAAAAAAGTTTAAATTCTTGAAATAGATAAAAATTTGATAGAAGAACTCAATATCTAATTGATTATAATTGATCTAACACATTTCATTCACATCAAATGCAATAATAAGTGAAAAATTTCAACAAATACTTAAACTATGTGAAACAATATAGTATGGTTATTCAAATTGTTGAACTATTTATGTGTTTTACATATCATTTAATACTATAACTAAGTATATATAAAAGGTATAAAATATTATTTGGAGACCCCTAATTTTTCCTAAAAATTAGGGCCCGAGGCTATCGCCTCTTTAACCTATAGTCAGAATCGGGCATGTTCCAATGATCTGGAGATTGGATGATGAAATTATTTAATTACATTGGGTTTGTCATTTATTAACTTCATAGACATTACAAAATGATACGATGAGTTTACTTAGGGTGCAAATTTAGAGCGGATGGTCTGTTTTAATAGGAAAATTGAATGTCATAGGATGATTGACACGTTGATAGTTTAAATAAAAATATAATTAGGATTCTAATAATTGAAAAAAAAAAAAATCAAGCAGAACCCATAACCCAACTAACCCTAATTATAATCAGCATGATTTATTAAGAGTTAAAGACTTAAAAGTGCCACATATCAAAAAATTAGTGGAATCCGATTTATATTAAATATCGGCTGATCCGCTCGGAATTTAATCTCTTTTACTTATCTCATTGTTTTTTTAATTTTTGTAATTCTTTGGGTTAGGGTACTCTTTTTCCCTAGGAATATATTAACAAGGCCCAAAGAATAATGTCCCAATTTTTATGAACTGTTTATACTTTATAGTAGTGAAATTAAACCTCGGATATAAAATTGTACGTTTCATTATTTTTAGTCCGGTTTACAACATATGAACTAAATATCGTTATCTAATCTAAGGCGCACATGTTCAGTTTTCACCCTAGGACTCTAAGTTGAGTAAAAACTGCTACGTATGCAATCCGGACTGCTGTCAAACTTCGATATATCCACTCTGGTCGAAGGTGGATCCAGTTCATTTTGATTCGGTCCACATCAATCTGGACCGAATCTGGTCCAAGTTGAGCTAATTGCCACCCCTAAATCCGTACATTCCGTACTTAGATTTAAGGTTTCTACCGGAACGAAGACAATTTCAAGCTAGCCCATTTTTATCCCAATTTATATCATTTCATGAAAAATTAACCCAATTCACTATAGAAGAATTGGAGTTCTCATCAAATGGTTAATGATTTAGCCTAGCAAATGTATAGTTTTTTTTTTTTTTTTCTCTACGGATTGGGTTGCTGATTTATAATGTATTGTTTGAATATTTCGAT